CTGGCTACTTGGAAGATTGAGGCTGAAGGATTACCAGAGCCCAGCAGGTTGAGGCTCTGGTGGCCGGGAACAGCCACTGCACTCCAGTCAGGGGGACAGAGTGAGACTCCAACTCAAAAAAAAAAAAAAAAGAACACTTGGCCCCAACAGAGTCTAGTAAGGCAGTAGCCTTCTTTTTTAAATATAGTCATTATTGACCAACATTTTCTGTCTAGGAACTGTGTTAGCTGCATCCTCATTTGCCACATGTTTTTTTTTGTTTGTTTGTTTTTTTTTGAGTTGGAGTCTCACTCTGTCACTCAGACTGGAGTGCAGTGGCCACTCCCGGCCACTGCAGCCTCGACCTGCTGGGCTCCAGCGATCCTTCCGCCTCAGCCTTACAAGGAGCTGGAACTACTACAGGCATGCGCTACCACGCCCAGCTAATTTTTGATTTATTGTAGAGATGAGGTCTTGCCAAGTTGCTCAGGCAGATCACAAACCCGCAGGCTCTGGCAATCCACTCACCTCGGCCTCCCAAAGCGCTGGGATTACAGGCTGAGCCACCGAGCCCAGCCTGGCACATGTTTTAAGATGTACTATTTTCATCATTGTGCATTTCTAGGCGTTTCCTAATTTCTGTCAAGTTTTCTCTTTGATCTGTGAGTTACTGAGAAATAGGTTTTCTCTCCCTTCCTCCCTACCTCCCTCTCTCCCTCCTTCCCTCCCTTGCTTTCTCAGGGTCTCTCTGTCTCCCAGGCTGGAGTGCAGTACAATGGTCCTTGGTCACTGTAGCTTCAACTTCCTGGACTTAAGGGATCCTTCTGCCTCAGCCTCTTGAGTAGCTGGAACTCAAGCTGTGCACCAGCACACCTGCTAATTTTTGTGTTTTTTTTTTTGTAGAGACAAGGTCTCACTATGTTGTCTCAAACTTCTGGGCTCAAGCATTTCTTCTGCCTTGGCCTCCCAAAGTGCTGAGATTACAGGCGTGAGCCGCCTCACATGGCCAAACAGGTTTCATTTTTTTCCAGATGAGTAGGAGTTTGTTTTGCTCATTGATTTCTTGTATTTGATTTTCTTCCCATTACTGGTTTTTAACTTGCCCACATTGTAGTCAGGAGGCTGAAATCTGTGTTATGCTGATCATTAAACATGTGGTCTGTGTTATGCTGGTACTTGAACATGTTCTTTGGCCTAGTTTGTGGTCAATGTTAGCAAATATAACACTTGTGCTTAGAAATCATTTGGCTTGGGCAACCCCCTCGGTTCCCCTCCTACTGTGGGAGCTTTTCTGTCCTCTCAATAAATCCTACTTTCAGGCTTGGTGGCTCAGCCTGTAATCCTGCACCTTTGGGAGGCTGAGGTGAGTGGATTGCCTGAGCCCGCGGGTTCAAGACCCTCCTGGGCAGCTTGGCGAGACCTCATCTCTACAATAAATCAAAAATGAACCGGACATGGTGGTGCGCACCTGTAGTTCCAGCCACTTGGAAGGCTGAGGCGGAAGGATCGCCAGAACCCAGCAGGTCGAGGCTGCGGTGGCCAGGAGCGGCCACTGCACTCCAGTCTGGGTGACAGAGTGAGACTCCAACTCAAAATAAATAAATAAATCAATCCTACTTTCTTTTTTTTCACCCAAAATTTTTGTTTTGGTTAATATTTAAAAACAACAACGAAAAGGAAAACCATCTGCATATGTATTTTATGTATACACACATACAAAACAAAAAATCCAGAATGGTCCTTAGGCATATGAGAACACAAATTCTGATTGAGTAATGACTATGGAAATTTCTCCCAACATTTGGAAAAGCTGTTCTCTAATGCAGAGGAAATAATATACCATGGTATCAAATGTTATTTTCTGAGAAAGGAAGCAACTACAGAAAGTTTTTATTGGTTCAAAGTAACCAGTGCTACTGATGCAACCCCCCCAACAACTCTCCCAAACTACTTTCAAAACAAACTTATCAAACTTAATTTTCATTAGAATGCAGTTATTTCGTCATACTAGGATATCGAAAACCAAGACCCAGATTTTATATATATATATAGAGCAATGTAAACAATTATTGAGCTTCATCTTCTGGACAAGAATGCCAAGTTAGTCTCTCCTCATAGAAAGCAATTACAATCTGAGGACATTTCATATTTGCCTCTTTCGCCAGCACCAGGTCTGCCTCATCTGAATCTTTCCATTTCATGAGAAACATCAGTTCTCCACTGCTGTCTGTGGCACCGATTATTCTTTCAGGATCTAGACCTCTTGCAAAGCCCCTCGGTTTGTCAGCAGCATCTCTTTTGTTCTTTGATTTGCTGTCATCAGATTCACTGTCAGATAAAGACTTTCTTTTTGTACCATCTTTTTCTTTACCAGCTTTTTGAGAATTAAAAAATGCTTCAGTTAACTCTGGACAATCTAAATTTTCTTCAGGCTCCCAAGTATTGTCAGCGTCTGTAAATCCCTTCCACTTCAGGAAATATTCCACTTTCCCATTCACTACATGTCGATCCAGTACTTTTTCCACCACAAACTCTTCAGGCTCTGCCTCTTCGACCTTTTTACTCTTTCCATTCTGTTTCCTTCCCATCTTTTGCAATGTAGTTTTATTGGAGGCCATTTTTTATTGCAGACTTCAAGAGCTATTATGTTCGCGATGTGGTGCCTGGCGATCCCCCGAGGGGCGGGAAAGGGAAGGAGGGGCGAGGATGGCGACCGAGGTCTTCCCGGCGGAGGCTTTTCGGCTTCGCCAATCCTACTTTCTAAAAAAGAAAAAAAAAATCATTTGGCTCCAGTATGGTAGCATGCTCCTGTAGTTCCAGCTGCTTGAGAGGGTGACGTAGAAGAGTTGCCTGAGCTCAGGAGGTCAAAGTTGTGATGAGCTGTGATCATGCCACTGTACTCTAGCCTGAGTGACAGAGTGAGAGACCCTGACAAAAAAAAGAGAAAAGAAAAAAAAGCATTTGTCTCCAATTGGTTCATGATTTTTCATAAGCTGTGTGACGTGTGATCAGGCTGGCTAATTACATTCTCTCCTGCTTATCTCTATTCAGTTTTTTTGAATTTTCATTACTAAAAGAATTTCATTAAAACCTCCCACTGTGGTTGGTTGTGGTGGCACACACTTGTAGTCCCAGCTACTTAAGAGGCAGAGGTGGGAGGATATCTTGAACTCAGAAGTTCAAGGCCAGTCTGGGCAATCTAGTGACACCTCATCTCAAATAAATAAATAAGTGAATAGTATCTCTCACCATTGTTGGATTTGCTGATTTCTTGTAATTCTGGCTGGCTTTGCTCTATGTTTTGAGGCGTGTTATTACTGTTGTATTGCCCTGTGATACTTACTTTTTGTTAAAAAAAAAGCTTTTCTTTGATTTATAAAGAACCATAAAATTCTTCTTTAGTTGGCATTCATCAGTTCCATCCTTTGGCTCTTGTCTTCTGTCTCCTTTTGCTTTGGATATGTTTGTTATAAACACATTTTTAGTATAATCAAACACAGCATCTTTATCTGGCCCATGAAGGCCACTTATATTTCTTGTTATTGGTGATATTTTATACTTTCTATTTAGGCTGTTCTTTTTGTGCTGCTGTTTTTCTCCTGACTAGCTTTTTCTGGATGGATCTTGTTTCCTTTATTCTTCCTTCCTGCTACAAGGTTTTCCTACCTTGGCACTATTGACATTTGGGGTGGATCATTCTCAGTTGTGGAGGGCCATCCTTTGCATTACAGGATATTTAGCAGCATCCTTGGCCTCTCATAGCCTCTGCCCCCTAGTCATGTTAACCAGAAGCATCTCCAAACATTGCCAAATGTCTTCTGGAGGCAAAACCATCTCTGGTTGAAAACCACTACTCTGAGGGGTTAGAAGTTCTACACTACGTTTATTTTATTCCTGACTTGACCAGGTATAACATGAATCATGAAAAATCTGAGAACTTCCCATTTCACAGTTCACTGCTGCCTGGTATTTTAGTCTATCCCATTAATTCCCTGAGTTATTGTTATTGCTGCATTTCATGATTAGCACTGGATTTGATTTAAATATATATTCATCAGCTCTTTTTTCTTTCTATTCTTTTCTTCTGAGGCTTTTCCTGAAGAGAAACTTTTTCTAATTCTTATGGCTAGTGTCCTTGATGACGAACTCTGCTTTTGCTTTTCTGAAGCCATCTTTATCTCACCCTCACTCTTGAACGATAGTGTATCTGATCGTTTTTTCCTTCGGCACTTTGATTTTTTGCTTTTGAGTTTGGGTCTCAGTTTGTCACCCATGCTGTAGTACAGTGGCATGACCACAGCTCACCACAGCCTTGACCTCCTGGGCTCCAAAGATCCTTCTGCCTCAGAATCCCAGTAACTGGGGCTACAGGTGTGTACCACCATGCCTGGCTAATTTTTTTTTTTTTTTGTAGAATTTTGTAGGTCTTGCTATGTTGCCTAGGCAGTTCTTCAACTCCTGGGCTCAATCAATCCTCCTGTTGTCTCGACCTCCCAAAGTGCTGGGACTACAGGTGTGTCATTGTCACTGGCCTATTCTGTAAGAATTCTTAATAGATCTTGGGCACTAATCCTGTGTGTCTCTTATATTGTATAGTATTATCTCTCCAGCTGCCGCTTGTGTTTTGTCTCTTATTGTATCTTGTATGAAAATTTTAAAAGTGTTATATCAAACTTGTTAATTTTTGTCTGAATGACTTTTGTTTGTTAAACTTTCTTAATCAAGGTCTGCCCCATTCATGAAGGCATCCTACATAACTTAAACTTTTACTTTATGTTGAGGTTTTTATCCATCTTAAATTTTAAACAAATAAATATACACACACATATATTCTGAGGCAAGAGAGGTAAGGAACTAATTTCATTTTACTTTTAAAAATAAGGAGAATAAGTTGTCTTCATATGATGAAGTGGTAGAGAGTGATGAGAGGAAGACTGATAATTATGAGGACGTGCAACCATTTACAGAATGCCCTTTATTCCCTATCCTCGGAGCCTCTCAGACATCTGGTTTTCTTAACAGCCCTGCAGAGCATTCATTCACAGATCTAGGACTTCAACCCAGAACTTTAAAGTCACTGTACTTGTTCTGTGTCCCATTTATGAATGTGAAACTGTGACCACAGAGCTGAGGTGAGAACTGCTCATTTAGTGCTGTTGTAGCACATGAAGTTGAGGTGTTGGAAATGTGTACTGATGGGAGTGGGTAACAGAAACAAGAATGCAGTGATGCATGCTTCTGGTCTCTCATGTCTCAGACAAATCCTTTTGATGATAATTATCCCCAGTACCATTTTTCCTGTCTGTTCTCTAGGATGATGAATATGCTATGTGGCTCCTTTTGAATCTGTTCTTGGTTCATCCCTTGACTCCCATTTTACCTCCCCCTGTATTAATGTGAATTATTTATTTATTTATTTATTTATTTTTTTGAGTTGGAGTCTCACTCTGTCACCCAGACTGGAGTGCAGTGGCCGCTCCCAGCCACCGCAGCCTCGACCTGCTGGGCTCCGGCGATCCTTCTGCCTCAGCCTTCCAAGTAGCCAGAATCACAGGCACGCACTACCATGCCCAGCTAATTTTTTGATTTATTGTAGAGATGAGGTCTCGCCTGTCCAGGCGGGTCTCGAACCCGCAGGCTCAGGCAATCCACTCACCTCAGCCTCCCAAAGGTGCGGGATTACAGGCTGAGCCACCGAGCCCGGCTAATGTGAATTTTTAAAAGAAAGCAAGTAGAACTACACACCTAGCCCATCATCATTTTCCATTCCTCTTCCACATATAGCTTTGTGTACTTAAATCTGCTTTTTTCTTTTTTTTCTATTCAGCCTGGGACATGAGACTGAAAATGACATCTCAGAATATTCCTCAGAAAGAATTATCCTCTGACATAAAAATGGAAGGATTTACCAGGGAGGCTCCTTGTTTCTCCATTCTAGGTGATGATTGGGACTGTGAGAACCAGGAGAGACATTTGAAGCAATCAACTTTAACTCTGGAGAAACAAGGGGTTCAGGAAGTAATTTGTGAATATTCTGGTTTTGGGAAACATTTGAACTCAGACCTTTCCCCATCACGGAGAGTTCCTACAACCAACGGCTTCCATATAAATGACTCAGTTGTTAGAAGTTTAGATTGTGACCCAACCTTACACAGTTGTACGAAAAGCTATACAGCTAAGAGAACTGGTGACAGTGATGCCTGTGGGAAAGCCTTTAACCATTCTATGGAAGTTATTCAATTTGGGAGAAATCAAATCAAAGAGAAACCCTATAAATACCCTGAAAGTGTTAAATCTTTTAACCATTTTACCTCTGTTGGTCAGCAAAAAATAATGAAAAGAGGCAAGAAACTGTATGAAGGTAAGGATTTTGGGGACATCTTTACCCTGAGCTCATCTTTTAATGAAAACAGGAGGAATCGCCCTGGAGAGAAACAGTATAAATGTACTGAATGTGGCAAATGCTTCAAACGGAACTCATCTCTTGTTTTGCATCATCGAACTCACACCGGAGAGAAACCTTATACCTGTAATGAGTGTGGAAAATCCTTCTCCAAGAACTACAACCTGATTGTGCATCAAAGGATCCATACAGGAGAGAAACCCTATAAATGTAATAAGTGTGGGAAAGCTTTCAGTGATGGATCAGCTCTGACACAACACCAGAGAATTCACACGGGTGAGAAACCTTATGAATGTCTAGAATGTGGGAAAACCTTCAACCGAAATTCATCCTTGATTTTGCATCAAAGAACTCATACAGGGGAAAAACCATATAGATGTAATGAGTGTGGAAAACCCTTCACTGACATCTCCCACCTCACTGTGCATCTTAGAATCCACACCGGTGAGAAACCCTATGAGTGTAGCAAATGTGGAAAGGCTTTCCGAGATGGCTCATACCTCACCCAGCACGAGAGGACTCACACTGGAGAAAAGCCCTTTGAATGTGCGGAGTGTGGGAAATCCTTCAACAGAAACTCTCACCTCATTGTGCATCAGAAGATCCATTCTGGGGAAAAGCCCTATGAATGTAAAGAGTGTGGGAAAACGTTCATTGAGAGTGCATACCTCATCAGGCACCAGAGAATCCACACTGGGGAGAAACCCTATGGGTGTAACCAGTGTCAGAAGCTTTTCAGGAACATTGCTGGCCTCATCCGGCACCAGAGGACTCATACTGGTGAGAAGCCCTATGAATGTAATCAATGTGGCAAAGCTTTCAGGGATAGCTCCTGTCTGACCAAGCACCAGAGAATTCACACTAAGGAGACCCCATACCAGTGTCTGGAATGTGGGAAGTCCTTCAAGCAAAACTCCCACCTGGCAGTACATCAGCGACTTCATAGCAGAGAGGGATCCAGCCAGTGTCCTCAGTGTGGGAAAACGTTCAGAAAGAGCTCATCCCTTGTCCGACATCAAAGAACACACCCTGGAGTGCAACCCATGGAAGCATAATAATGTCTGTGAGTCACACTCTTCTCCCAACTTGTTCTCAAAAACCTACATGAAGAAGTGTGCCTTCCAATATGACTCCTTCCTGGTCAATAGAAAAGAATTCTTCAACCTATCTGGTGAATTGACAAATGTAAGACATTCCTTAGCCATGTTGTTAAATCTGTTTATTAGGGAACACCTGGAGAGAACACGGGATGGTAATATATGTGGAAAAGGCTTCAGAGATGATTTCAGCCTGTACCAAAGTAACAGCATATACACTGGAATAAAACGTGAGAATGTGAGGAAGATTCTTCCCTTGAGATATCCACCCATTTTTGCATCAGAATGCTTAAACTAGAAAGAATCTGTGAATGTATTCTGTAAGTAACTGGTATGAGGAATCCTTTAATAGGGGGTTTCTACCTTATAGTATGTAAACTCTTACTAAATCAAACTTTTAAGGTATAATCAGAAGATACTTTTGGCAGGGTGGTCTCTTACTATCTTTTCTATATCAGTAAAGATGTACTGTTGAGAGATCCCATTCAAAGCTCCACCCCATAGCACCATAGAATTATAGTTAGATTGTGCAGTTTGAATGAATTTCTTTGTTAAAATCTTGCCAGAACACTGAGGACTCATTTCAAAAGGGGAAACTGGAGGAAAAAATTGTTTCTGAATGAACAGTGAAGTTGTTCGTTTTAAGACTAAAGCTCCTACTAAGATGGAAAAGGGCTGCTTCCAAGAAATGTGATTTGATACTTTGATTGTTGAAACAAAAAAATAGTGAGTTATGGTTAGGTTATTGCCACCCCTACACACACTGTTGTTTTCATTTAGAATACTTATACTTTGTTCCATTTAGCTACTCTGAACCATAATTATAAAGGTTTTGTGCCAAGTTGAAAATACTCATAATATGGCAAAAAAAAAAGGCATAAAATAGAAGATTTGCTATCATTACAGCCATGTAAAGATATGTGCACATATAGGTATAGATTGGAAGTGGATGTTCAAGAAATAAAACATGGTTTTCTTAGGAGACTGGAATTGTTTGTTTTCTTTTTCTTTATTACAAATCATACATTGTTGGCGTAATAATTAGATAATGAATAAAAAAGTGAAGCCAAAAGGAGATGGATTTTTAGTTTCCTTGATCTTCTTTGCTGATAGGGCCTAGATCAGTGTTTCAGGGTAGCCGTAAGCTTAGGAGGGCAGATCCAAGAAGATGCTTCTCTGGAATCAGAGCATCCCACCGGCCAGGCCATGAGAATCATTTTCTTCTTTGGGATTTGGATTATGAGAGGGTGTCATTGTGGAGGAAAGGGTAGGTATTAGAGAATGGGGAACAAGAAGAGGCTGTGGATAAGTCATTGGGATGACTCTGTAACAGCCCTTCTGAGGCAGTACACTACTGGTTAAATAAAAACTAGTCACGTTGGTTGACATAGCCTCAAAGTCCTGTGAGTGGATGCCATTGGAATTTTGATTTGCCCTGTTTTCTATTCCCTGGCTCCTACAGAGGGAGAGTCAGAATGAAGCCCATTCTAAGCTAATTAGACTGTGAGTTGTGTGAGTTGCATGAGTTAGAAATTGAATGAGGCATCTTGGGCTTCTCTGTGTGGGTGCCCTTCCCTGGCAGGAAGAACCATTGAATGAACCCCAAAAAGGAGGAGAGGGTGATATTGTCCCACCTGTCTTCAGTGCAGTGTAGTCCTTGAATGTATGGGCAAACTTTTAAATTAATTTTTGCTGGGGGATGTGTATGAGTGTCCTTTTCTGTGTAGTGAACCCTTCATCAGCATCTCAAAAGAGTGGATAAGATATCCTGACCCTTGAAGTTTGTTGGAGGTGAAATCTGAGCTGCCATCTTAACAGAGCATCCCTGGAACTGTACCATACCTCACCCACAACCATTCAGTGCTTGGCTTGTGCTTGTGGTCTCTTCCTGGGTGTTGTTAACTGAAGGAAGATATGTCAAGCAAGTTTACTCCCCCCATCAAATCCGTTGCTTTCCAAGTGCACCCCTTTTGTGTAAATGGCCCAGCCACTCCTCCAATATGCAAGCCAGGAGGAGGTGGGAGAGGAGGAAGGGAAGAGGAGAAGAAACCTCACACAAAGAGAAGGAACAAATAGCCGCGTCTGGAAACATCTCTGGCCCTGGACCTGTTGTTTGGTTCCTCTGCAAACTCAGTTCAGTCTTTTTCTTGACACACTCTGTATCCTATTCTACTGTCTTATTCCTAGATTCTTCATCAAATACTCCTCCTCTTGGTCCAGAGGGTGAACAGAAAATTGGGTTGGATTTTAGCTGAAGTTTCAGGGATTTAATGGGATACCATCAGGCATTTTCTTTTCTTTTTCTTTTTCTTTTTTTTTTTTTTGAGTTGGAGTCTTACTCTGTCATCCAGACTGGAGTGCAGTGGCCGCACCTGGCCACCGCAACCTCGACCTGCTGGGCTCCAGTGATCCTTCCACTTCAGCCTTCCAAGTCCCGGAACTACAGGCATGCACTACCACGCCCGGCTAATTTTTTGATTTATCGTAGAGATGAGGTCTCGCCAAGGTGCCCAGGTGGGTCTCGAACCCACAGGCTCAGACAATACGCTCACCTCAGCCTCCCAAAGCGTGGGATTCAGGCTGAGCCAACGAGCTCGGCTACCACCAGGCATTTTCTATGCATGCAGTTACAATAGTTCCTCTAGACAGGCTTCTCCCCAAGGGAAAAGGCATATTTGGCCAAATAGTGGCATTGAGTGACAAGCTACAGTACTAGAATGAGCCAGTTCCCTGGTATTGGCAGCTTCAGGGTTCTGTCACCTGGTGTCTCAATAGTGCTGAAATTCTGAGGTCCTGACCCTCAAGCCAGCTGGGGAGGGCTTCTGGCAGCCATCCCTCCCTCCTAGGAGTATTGTTCCTCACATCTGCTGTCTTAGTTGTGGCTTCTATGGTGCATGTTTCCTCCCAAGGTACAGTTAGACCTGGCCCAGGTTCGTGTTGAAGCTGTGTCACAGAGGAGGGTAGGCAGCCAGCATTGGCAACTAGAGTTGAAAACTGTGCTGAGATAGGAGAGAGGAGGTGAGTCAGGGAGAGGGGAGACAGGCAGAGAATGACCCTGCAAAAGTATTGGTGAAATAAAGTCCCCACCCACTTTAAGGTGGTGATCTCATGGAAGAAGCACATGAGAGTGGAGGGTCAGTGGGACCTCATTGGAAGGTTGTAATTCTGTGTCCCAGGGACCTAGCTGCAGGGTGGGGTGACTTATGTCCTCCAGAAGGTTGTCCAGGGGTTTGTGTCTTAATATAACCCACATACAGAAGAGTATACTGCAAAGACTCTCCTTGACCCAGCTTCAAGTCAGACTCCTAGAACTTTCTGCTTCATGAGACCTGACCTGGGGCTTCTCTCTCTGTCCTTGTAGGATCCACTGTGAGCAAACATCCTGCTAAGTCAGTTTAGCAAAATCTTCCCTCCTTGGTATCTGATTTAATTCCTCATCCTCCACCCTCAATATCTTCTTACTGTGACCTGCCTTCAACAAAAATTCTGTTGCGTTGTCTAGCAAGAATTCCCCCATATCCCTGAGGTTTTCTCTTAGTAATTTTCCACCCACTGACTCCCACTCTGCTCCTTGATTTTAAACCCCCACTTGCCCTTGTGGGAGTTGAGTCCTGTCTCTCTGAAGCCCTGCCATAAAGCTCCATTGTAGCAACCCCCTGGATAAAGCCTGCTTGCTGAGTACTCTATGTAAGTAGAACCACACCGCACGTCCTAGTGCTCAGCACTGTCTGTTAGACTCATCCATGTTGCTGTAACTGGTTGTAGTTTTTGTCAGTGCTGTTTAATATTCCACTTTGGAAAGCCCTTAAACATATTTGCCCATTCTATAGAACAGTGGTTCTCATGCAGGGACAATTTGCCCCCCAGGGGACATGTGGAGACATGTGAGTGGTCATGATGAAGGGTGGGGGGAAGCAACTGGCATCTAGCTAGCAAGTAGAGGCCAGGGCTGCTGCTAAACATCCTATGTGGCACAGGATGACCCCCAGCGAAGTGAGGCAGCTCACATGGTGAGCAGTACCAAGGATGAGGTGTAGACATTTCTTGTTGAAACATTATAGAATGAGGAAAATGGTCTTGCATTCCCAGGATATATAGTCATAAGTCACAGACTTGTGTGTCTGTGATGGTTGGTGTGTCATCAGGACATACATAGATCCCTGTGGCCTGTCCAGAACAGCTGGGGGCCAGTCTGGGCACTCCCTGTGGACCTCTGCAGCTCTCCAGTAAACTCTGCACACATTGTATTGTTAGCGTCGACTGTATCTTGGCCTCATAGTCCCATGTTTCAAATTCTGGGATGGGCTCATCGCCAGACCAGTTGTGGCCAGAGAGTAAGTACCCAAAGAAGAGGTGTCACATGATTTTGTGTGAATTGTTTTCCCCTTGCTTTTTTTTTAAAGGTGTTCTCAAATAAGCAGGAATTATGACTGTAATGAAAATACAGTAGTCCCCCATATTCAAGGGAGATACATTTCAAGACCTGTCAGATTGCTAAGACCTGAGACAGCACTGACCCTATACACAGTCGTTCCTCAGTATCCATGGGGATGGGACCACCCTCAGAGACCAAATCTGTGGATGCTGAAGTCCCTGATATAAAATGGCTCAATATTTGCATACGAACTATGCACATCCTCCCATAATCAGCTGTAGATCACTGATAATGCCTAATACAATCTAAATGTATATCAGGACATGTAATTAGTTATACTGTGTTGTTTAGGGACTAATGGCTAGGGGAAAAGTCTGCACATGTTCAGTACAGATGCAATGTCTTTGAATATTTTTTTTTTTTTTTTTAGTTGGAGTCTCACTTTGTCGCCCAGACTGGAGTGCAGTGGCCGCTCCTGGCCACCGCAGCCTCGACCTGCTGGGCTCCAGCGATCCCTCCGCCTCAGCCTTCCAAGTAGCTGGAACTACAGGCGAGCGCTACCACGCCCGGCTAATTTTTTGATTTATTGTGATGGTGAGGTCTCGCCAAGTTGCCCAGGCAGGTCCCGATCTTTGAATATTTTCAACCCATGGTTGGATCTATGGATGTGGACCCCATGCATATGGAGGGCTGGCTGTATACTGTGTTTTTTCTTATGCATAGCTATGACTTAGTTTAATTTATAATATAAGGGGGCTTGAACACAAGTGCTACAATACTGTGACAGTCAATCTGATAACTAGGGTGGCCTCTAAGAGACTACCAGGCAGAAGGTGTAAACAGTGTGGATTCACTGGACAAAGAAAGGATTCCCATTCTGGGGGAGATGCAGCAGGATGGAGTGAGATTTCACCACAGTACTCAGAACAGCGCACAATGTAAGACTTATGAATTGTTTCTGTATTTTCCACTGAATGTTTTCAGACCAGTTGATTTCGGTAACAAACAGTGAAAAGTGAAAGTGTGGGTAAGGCGGGGACTGCTAAAATTCAGTTACAGAGGGTGAAAATATGACCAGAGCAGAGATGGTGAGATGTGGCTGATGAGTTCCAGATGGATTCCAAGGTAGCCTGAGCAACTGCCAGTTCAAAGCCTGAGAAGAGTGGGAATCAGGGTAGAGGAGAGTCTCCTGAATAATTGACACAGGCCCCTGCTAATCACACAAACTCTTATAGTTAGAAAACCTGTCCTGGTGTCAGATGCTAAGGAAGAAGATAGATCTGATGTGTGAGAATGAAACCTGCTGGTGCCAAGCCAGGGTAGGTGGTGGGCCTCTAGAAGCTGACAGCTGCTGGGAAGTGGGGACTTTAGTCCTATAACCACCTTGGATTTACTACCAATCTGAATGAACCTGCAAGCAGATTCTCCCCAGAGCCTCCAGGTAAGATCCTAGGCCAGGTGACTCTTTGAGTTCAGCAAAGCCCACCTGGGTTTCTGACATAAATTTGTGTTGTGTGAAGCTGCTAAGTGTGTGGTAATTTTTCAGTGGCAGCAAGGGGAAGATAACACATGGGTTAAAAGAAATCTTCCTTCTGCTATGCCTGACC